TGATGAAGAACGACGAGCTCATAGAGCTCCGATGAAGAATGACGAGCTCATAAAGCTCCAATAAAGAATGACAAGTTGATAGAGCTCTAACAAAGAATTACAGCTCACACAACTCCAACAAAGAATTACGAGTTGACATAGTGCAAACAAAGATTTACGAGCTCGCAGAGCCCCAAAAAGAATGACGAGCTGACAACATCCAATGAAGAACGACGAGCTGAGACCTTACATGAGTGGGCTCCCACAAAGAATTACAGCTAAGACCCTACATGGGTAAACTCCTATGAAGAATTATGAGTTGAAATCCAACATGCCTGAGCTTCCTGGTTTTAGGTCGTCACTCCTGATCTTCCTGCTTCCAGGTCATCACTCCTGAGCTTCCTGCTTTCAGGTCGTCACTCATCAGCTTCCTGGTTTCAGGTCGTCACTCCGGAGCTTCCTGCTTCCAGGTCGTCACTCCCGAGCTTCCTGGTTTCAGGTCGTCACTCCTCAGTTTCTTGGTTCCAGGTCGTCACTCCTGAGTTTACTGGTTCCAGGTCGTACTATTGAGCTTCCTGGTTTCAGGTCGTCACTCCCGAGCTTCCTGGTTTCAGGTCGTCACTACCGCGCTTCCTGGTTTCAGGTCGTCACTCCTCAGTTTCCTCCTTCCAGGTCGTCACTACCGAGCTTCCTGGTTTCAGGTCGTCACTAATGAGCTTCCTGCTTCCAGCTCGTCACTACCGAGCTTCCTGGTTTCAGGTCGTCACTCCCGAGCTTCCTGGTTTCAGGTCGTCACTCCCGAGCTTCCTGGTTTCAGGTCGTCACTCCCGAGCTTCCTGGTTTCAGGTCGTCACTACCACGCTTCCTGGTTTCAGGTCGTCACTCCTCAGTTTCCTGGTTCCAGGTCGTCACTCATCAGTTTCCTAGTTCCATGTCGTCACTCATCAGCTTCCTGGTTTCAGGTCGTCACTCCGGAGCTTCCTACTTCCAGGTCGTCACTACCGAGCTTCTTGGTTTCAGGTCGTCACTCCTGAGCTTCCTGGTTCCAGGTCGTCACTACTGAGCTTCCTGCTTCCAGGTCGTCACTCCTGAGCTTCCTAGTTTCAGGTCGTCACCTCAGTTTCCTGGCTCTAGGTCATAATGCCTCAGCTCCGGCCGCTATGACTCCGGTCATCATTATTTACCTCGGTTCCGGCCATTGTGACACCAAGTCACTAGTTCTACTTCGGCTCTGGCCATAGTGACCCCGAGTCACATATTTTACTTTGGCTCCGGCCATAGTGACCCAGCGTCACACTTTTTACTTCGGCTCAGGCCACAGTGACCCAGTGTCACATGCTTCACTTCGGCTCTGGCCATAGTGACCCCGAGTCACCTATTTCCCTTCAGCTACGGCTATAACACATGACTCTGTGTCATGCATTTTTACCTCAGCTATGGCCCAAAACACATGCA